CAAAGACCCTTCTTGCTCTCCATCGTGGAGCATTGTGTAATACAGAAAAATGGTTGTTTATTTTATAGAGATCCAAGACCGTACCATTCCGGAGTACGCCGCGAGCGACTNTATTGAGCTATTCGCCATGATCAGCGCTCTCAGATTTTCCCTCCCCGTCATATACGGTAATCATACGACCGTCTTCTCGGATCATAGACCTTTAACGTATCTGCTGAAGCACAACAAGACCCTCGACAATTTAGCTCGTTGGGCAATTGAACTCCAGAGCTACAATGTCACCATAGAATATCTCAAGGGTTCTTCAAACGTAGTAGCAGCGCCTTACCCCGAGTAGTCGACAAGAAGGTTCGATTCGAGGACAATACCCCCGATACAGACGATATCGTGGAGTTCCCGGTAAGTATTAAAGTTCTCCGTCAGGCTTCCTACTCGGTTCGTCCGTCCGTTCCTTGCCTCGGTCAGTTACGTGTCATTCGTCCATATGACGCCCTCTTGGAGCAGAAACAAGATGACTTTTGCTCATCGATCACCACCTTTATAGAGACTCAACGGTTTCCGGCCTCAGTTCCCGACGAACAAAGACCCTTCTTGCTCTCCATCGTGGAGCATTGTGTGATAGAGAAAAATGGTTGTTTATATTATAGAGATCCAAGACCGTACCATTCCGGAGTACGCCGCGACTCGTTGGTCCGGAGAAGCTCAAAGATTTTTGGCGCTTCATTCAAGTCCCTCAACTGGCGGCCATTTTAATTGGCGCAAAACGCTGGCCAAGATATCACGTAAGTATTTCTGGCCTCAGATGGCGGAGGACATCTTTGCTTTGGTTCGCTCATGTGAACAATGCTAAGGTAAGCGAAATAAGCAAACTAACCGCGAACTCTTGGCTCCTGTCACGAGCGGCGCTTCCTGTCACGAGCGGCGCTTCCTGTCACGAGCGGCGCTATCTTCAATAAGGTGTACGTCGATTTGACGGAACCACTCCACACCTCCGAGAAAGAACGGTAACAAATATATCTTGGCTATGATTGGTCACTTTTCGAAGTATGTTATCGCCACCCCCCTGCCGGATTGCACCGCGATTACTGTAGCTCACGCAATAATGTCGGATTTTATCCTGGTTTATGGCGTAATGACGCAACTAGTATCTAACAATGCTTCTTATTTCAAGGGAGAGGATCTTTCTGAGGTTGGACGTTTGCTGCGCATCAGCTGCTATTTCACGACACCTTATCATCACGAAGGCAACGGAGCATGCGAACGAGTGTTCGCCACCTTTCATCCGATGCTTCGCACCTATATAGCTGAGAATCAACGCGATTGGGACAGCTACGTTAAAGCTTGCGCATTCATGTACAATACCTCAGTTCACACCAGCACTAATAATACTCCGTATTTTTTAATGTTCGGCAGGGACCCGGTATTCAATATTGACCTGCTTATCAAACATGATTTGGAGCGTCACACCCCCTCTTTGGACGACGCCGGGCTCTACGTCGAAAATTTGGTAGCCACTCTTCACGCCGCCTGGCGCTCCGCCAAGGACTTCAACGATCGCCAGCGGGCGAAGTATAAGCAGCAGCATGATCGTACTCACCTTCGCCCCCTAGATATCCGCGTCGGCGATCGCGTTTTCTTGCGCGACCTGGCTCCGAAGGTAGGGCTATCATCCAAGCTCTGCAATCCTTGGCTGGGGCAGTTCCGTGTTGTGGAAGTCGACCCCCCTCATCTTACCATCGTCAGCGTTTCGGCTCCGCAATCGTCACCCCGACGAGCGCACATAAACCAGGTCAAGCGCTGCTACGAGCTCTCTGGTCCAGTATTCACCTCGCAATGGACCCCAGTCGAAGAACAGGCGGCACTGTCCGCCGCCGGCGCTACGGAATTAACTATGCCTGGTTACTCTCATCAGGTAAGTACAGAACAACTTGTTACCGAATCTCCAGTGCCGACTCACCATTATAACACTCGTTTTAGATCACGGCGCACTTCTCTATGACCGGTTGGTCCAACACAAAGACCTTTGTATCGTCATCTCTTGACATGTCACTCGTCATCTCCAGCCTTTCGCACCATTCGTGCGCTCTGATTCCATTCCCTTGTGTTTATCGCTCCCCTCTTTATTCATGTATTCTGAACAGCCTAACGACTTTTGATTGCTCACATTCTCTGCGTCAATCCTTTCCGTCTGATGCTCGTTTTGTTCGCGACGCTCATACTCGCGGTAGTTAGCCTTGACTACAACTTATACGACTCTTACAGGGAACTCGAATAGGTTATCAACTTTCGTCCTCTTAAGCCATGGACAGTGCGCCACCTCATCCGGTAGCATCGGATCAATCAGGTGAGTCTGGACAAGTTCATTCCGCACCTTGTTCCGGTCCAAACGTTTTCAGATCAGTCAGCCCTTGACAGCAACGATGCGATAGATTCTTCTTCCTTCGCTCTGCAAGAGCTCGACCTATTGGAGGATGCTCTTCTCGCTCCCCGCCAGAGCCAGCGGCGACGATGAAAGCCGGCGACGGCCAGCTCGCGCAGTCAATGGAGGATCTGTCCCTCCTATCTCCAGCGGTACCCGCATCGTCTAGCTCTGTTAATCCCGCTTTACAGGCCTCTTTTGGACCAATAGGGTGGCCGGATGGCGCAGGTCCACCAGGGATACCACTTCCCCTGCACCCCCGGCAGCTCCCCGTGGCCGTGGAGGGGTAGTGCGTGTCGGCGCCGGATGGCGCAGGTCCACCAGGGATACCACTTCCCCCTGCATCCCCGGCAGCTCCCCGTGGCCGTGGAGGGGTAGTGCGTGTCGGCGCGCGCGGCGCCCCCGCCGGTGGAAAGGCTCGCCCTCGTCCTCGACGCGGTTGTGCTCCGGTAGCACGACACAACGTGTCTCCACAGCGTCCTTATTATCCCCATCTGGTAGCAATCCTCTACCTGCTCGAGAGAACTATTTACTCAGCTTCCACCCGTGGTCTCGCTTCGTGGATCTCCGTCCTCGACGCATGGTGACGTTCGGCCATAATAGGGTCACCAATGAACTTCCGGTATCGACCTACAGACAGCTCCCTGACGCGGGATACATGAGCCTTAAGTTCGTTCGATTTCCCTAACTTTGTACTCCGCAGGCAGCCTTATCCAGACCCCATTCCATTCATAGAGCTGCAGCACCTCGAAGATTCCATTGACATTCGCTTCATCACCGCAGACACCATCAGGTCAGTGCAACAGGGAAGATACCGGGATATAGATGTGGATAAAGTCCCCCTCAACACCGATCCCCGGCAGTCCCTTATTGACCCCACCACACGTAATCAGCGTCGGCCGGTGCTTTACCAGGTAGTGCCAACAGGTTGGGGAACTGGTGTCATCCTCGAAGCCAAGGATTTCTACTTAGTCGGACCAGACCGCAGGGATCCCCACTGCATTGTCCTCGATCAATACGCGATCAACCATCTAACGGGATTGCGCGGATTCGATAAAGACAAGGTATCGGTTACGGACTTTGTATGGGTGTATAGTCTGAAGCCCACTCGGCAAGCCCTTCGGAAACCCGAGGAGACCCTCACCGCGTCGCGATACCCCCGCACCACAACGCTTCGCATGAACTCCTCTTACTTTTTCCGCGCGGAGTCGTTCGCATTTGTGACGCCAGTGACGCTCCCGGAACCAGTGTACGGCATCATTTTGTCGCGCAAGTTCACGCGGGTAGGGACGGTCGCCTCCGTTAGAGCCGTGTTCAAGGCAGCGCCTGACGCCGTGACCCTGACCCACTCGATTTGCGATTTTAGCTTTGAGGACATTAGGGAGGACAATTTCGTGATGGCTACCTCACGCGCTAACGTATCCTGCGCCATGCGCTTCTCGGAACCGCCGGCGTTCCCTGGGGCCCGTACAGCTCTGTGCAAGCTGGCCCGTCAGTTCCTGCCCCTGTACCCCGACGAAGGGTTGGTCCCGCTCCGGGTTTGGCGCTTGCAGGAAAGTGACCACGCGTGGTTAGCGGATCGCGCTGGTCCCTTCGGGAATTACCGCCGCAACCGCAACGAGTCAAGGCTGCGCATGTCGAAGGTATTCAATGTGGCGTGCTCGGCCCTGGCAGCGATCAGTTCCCTGGAGGACGACCGCCTCTCCCACAGACTAACGGCCTCGGCAACCCGTCCATATCATTACCCCGCGAGGCTGAATTTCGTGCTTCAGAATATGGCCTCGGAGGCCGGTTTGGTTCCTCAGCGTCCCGTAGCTTTGCACATTCTGTGGTCGAATTCCATTTGTCGAGCGAAGTAGTAGCCAGCGTCGAAATCATTCCCGACCAACGCGCTCTAAGCGTCACTATAGAAGCGTTTATTTGGTCACAGCGCAGCATCAACGACGCGCTTCATAGGTACGGTCGCCACACTGGCGCACTTACCTTCGTTATAATAGACGTGCGCCTCGGCAGACAGACCAACCGCGCCGACCCTATTTACGAGGCGATCGCGCATATGCAGACCCTCACCGATTTGAGTCACACCTCGCTCGCCAGTAGGATAGCGGACCTGGTCTACGGCGGACCCCAGGATGCTCCCATGGAGCAGGCGGAGGCCGATGATCCTATCGTGGTCGCCCCATCCTTTCAGATTCGAGGAACAACAATGGTCCTGACTAATGACCAAGTAGAAGCTGTTCGACTGGCGGTCAGCAACGAACCGACTGTGGCCATTCAAGCGGCCTTCGATACAGGTAAGACGATGGTGGGAGCTATAATAGCGGCGCTCATTGCGCCGCGACCACCATCAATAGTAGTTGTAACAGCAACTACTAACCATCAATAGTAGTTGTAACAGCAACTACTAACGCGACCATCAATAGTAGTTGTAACAGCAACTACTAACGCGGCGGTTGCCCAATTCACAGAGACCTTATTAAGCCTCGATGACTTCGTTCATCTTGAGGTCCTTCGCTACTTGTCGGATTCGCTCATCTTGAGGTCCTTCGCTACTTGTCGGACACCGCGGCGTCCGACAACCTATATCCCACGGAGGTAGACCTAAATGTGGTCCTAAAATCGTTAGGCGATCGCTATGGGGCTCAGCTCGATGACGCTGAAAAAGAATTCTGCAGAGGATTCAAGGAGAAAAGGGAACTCCTTGAACAATACATGGAAGACCCCTCTAAGTTCCTTTATATGTCTGAGGAA